TTAAAATACTAAAATGATAATCTGTTTCTGACTCCGATTAAGACGACAGTATAGGCATTTGGTATCCGTAAGCATTGAGTGTGTCCTGACATTTTTGCCAGTGAACCTTAGAGGATAAGGTGGATATTTTCCTGCAGTTGGTTTAAATAGTCTTTGGTTATGAAAGTGAAATACATGAGTGTGGTTTGTCACTTAGAATGTCTCAGTTAAGTTGCCTCTTAGCCCACCTTCAAACTAGAATCCTCTAACTTGCTTTTGGATCCTTCCGTGAGAGGTCCATGTCACTTGTATGCTGATGATTCAGAAGGTCATAGCGTTTCGGCACAGTGTCTCACAAATGTTGAAGGCAGGTGATGACTATTGATATATGCAGTGTTTTTGTTGGTTCGTGTCTTGGTGTGAAATAAGAGATGGGTGATACAGGGAGAGAAGAAGCTATTCTCCATCTCTGTGCAAGGCACATCAGAGGGAAAGTAACCTAGCAGACAATTAGGTTAAAAAATGACATACTGTGCAAAATGGAATTTAACATTCAGAAGTGTCTGCTAAGTAACTGTATTATTTAACAAGCTAATTATGGTTCTTTGCTTCCAAACATGACCGATGAACTAATTTGCCCGAGGAGATTGCGACGTGGTAGCAATAACGAAGCTGTTACCACAGTGCCTCGGTACTGCACAGTTGCCGAATACATCCTTTATCACATAATTGCATTTCAGCTGTTCCTAAAACCAAATGTGTTTAACTGTGTGATCATAAAAAGAAAATTTAAGTTTAAATGTTCATCCTTTTAGTTGGTAAGCAGAATGTCTTTTAACTTGGTACCTTGGGGAGGAAGCTGTAGGATTAGGTCTCATTGCTTTGCTACCAAGTGTACCTTCCGAGTTCCCTTTTGATGTCATTGTTTTCCACAGGGGAAAACTGATTGAATAACAATGTGTTCTCCCTGCTCTGTAATAGGAGAGGAGGAGGATGGCTCAGAGAATTAGGGATCTAGAAGTGGAGTATGATGCCTGAAATCAAGAACAACTGAGGCAGAAATACTGACAGGGCTTCTTGGGTTGAGAGTTGAGGGTTTTCTTACAAAGCTGGGGAGTTCCAGAAATGTCACCTGGAGCTAGCTACTGTTCAAGAAATGTGTGAGATAACGAGGTTCTGAGGTGGATGGATTTTCTGTGCAAGAGAAGGGCTGCAAGAGATGGAGAAAGCATGATAATAAGAGCAAAAGGTAATCAACAAAGTTTTGGGAAACATTCTACCATGTTTTGTCATTGATCTGTTACGTGGAACCTGCTGTTACTGGTTTTATCCCAGTAATCTGGCTTCTTCCTACTTCACTTGCTACTTAGACTTGATACTTTAAAAACTTGTGGTTATTTAGCTAGTAGAAATATGTTTGAAGTGGTAGTCAAAATATATAGCTGGCTAAAATGCTGAATTTTCACTGATGTTTAGTAAAAAAGTTTGACATACTTGCTTTGAAGTGCAGAAGTGAATCCAGTTCGAGATGTGTATTGCCCGTATATAGGACACGAGGAGTGCAGTTGGAAGGACACTGAACATGAAGATTTGTTTGGGTATGTCCTAAACCGGTAAATAGAACAATGCAATTTAGACTAAGTATCTAAATGTAATTAGATATGGAAGGATGTTGAGGGGTATGTGTGGTGTCTCTAACAAATCAGTATTTTACAGCTTTATAAGGTAGATTAGTATTGGACATAGCTATTGCAGTGACTGGGAGTGCATGCTTTTGTGAAGATAAAGTGATTAACTAATGGACATGCCTTCAGATCATGAATATTTTTCGGAAGATGGGACTAAAATCATGTTCTAAGTTCCTTACAGAAAGCTTGTAAAAATAATGCTAAATAGACACTTAAGCAGAATGCTTTATATTTGAGTCTGCTGCACTCTCAAGTGGTTTCAAGGGACAAAACAGAGCAGATCAGATAGTATATAGCAGTTAATTTCCTTTTCCTGCCTGGCTCTGTGGCTCTGTCCGTATTTAGCTTGTATGGGTGGCACCCAGATTAGCTTGGCACGGGGCATAAACTGCATGGAGTTACTATACCTTATTTGTACTGTACTTCTCCAGAGGTGTTGTGGAATTTCAGGGTTGTGTCTCTGTGTTTTGCTTTGCCTGGGATGCAGCATGTT